GGAGGGAGGGAGGGGGGGGGAGGGAGAGAGAGAGAGAGAGAGAGAGAGAGAGAGAGAGAGAGAGAGAGAGAGTCTAGGCCTGACCTGGGCTTTTGAAACCTCAATGCCCACCCCCATTGACACACTTCCTTCAACAAAGCCACACCTCCTGATCCTTCCCAAACACTTTCACTGAGGACTAAGCATTCAAACATGAACCCATGAGGGCCATTCTCATGAAATCACAAGGCCCTAGGCCAGTTTAGCATTGCTGCCAGAAAAAATTGTTTTCAATATGTGCTGGTTGATAGGTAGATAGAGCAGTGAGGCTATTCAGAGAAGCTCTTCCGATTATTATTATTATTATTATTATTATTTAAAGAGGAAGTAGGAGTTGGTAGTCAAGCACAGGGAGTATGTTAGAGTTTGAGGAGAAAAGTGTGAATTGTCCCAAGTGAGTGGGGTAAGTCATTTGACTGGGGGGGGGATGTAGCATCTTTGCTAGGTGGCTCTCCAAGGTCTGCTCAGGTTTACAGTCATTGGAGTGAGTAATGCTAGCCTGCTGGTTTGTTTCCTCCGGCCGTGTGCACTTTTGTAAGAGCAGATCTACAAGAGGTGGGAAGAACGACGGAGGGAAGAGTCTGAGAGTATGTGTGGAGGAGTGACCACGTGAAGGAGCATAGAATTTAGGCTACGAAAAGATGGAAAGAGTGAGAAAAGGCAGAAGTCAGGGAAATAGGAAGACTCTGTCGAAGACCAGGAGATAGCAACACTAGGAGGTAAGAGAAAAGATGCCAGGAGGTAGGAAAGTGGGTTGCTAAAATTCTCACCATAAAGAACATACAGTTATTGAGGTCACAGACACTATCATGGAAATGGTTGTGTACTCATTAGCTTTTTGTTATTGTTACAAACACCCCAGATCATTCATTTACGTGGAAGAATTATGTTTTCTTCACAGTTTCAGTCCACAATAGCTTTTTGGTTTATGAAGCAAGACAGTACAACCTGGTTGGAGCAAAGAGGCTCGTCCCATGGTGGCCAGGGAGAAGAAGATGGAAGAGGGGTTGGGCTCCTTATATACCTTTCAAGGATATAAAAGGCCTGAAGTGGCTTATTTTGCTTCCACCATGTCTGCCCTTCTAAAGGTTCCACTAGACCTAGAGGTTGGGAGCAAACCTTCAATGAGTGCCCCTTCAGACGACACTTGTCCCAACTGTCTCAGTGGCTGAGCTGAATGTAAGAAAAGATCACTACAGATGAAAAACTAGGAGGCTGCCTAGGTATTGCGAGAACCAATGATGTGATTCCCAAACTACCATTGATGAGCAACAAAAACGCTGAATTAGTCATCACCTCTACCAGGTCATTGCAAGGGCTCCTCACCATCGGTTTGAAATCTATTTTTTTTTTATTTTTATTTTATTTATTTATTTATTTATTTATTTATTTATTTATTTATTTATTTATTTATTTATTTATTTATTTATTTATTTTTGGTTTTTCGAGACAGGGTTTGTTTCTCTGTGTAGCTTTGCGCCTTTCCTGGAACTCACTTGGTAGCCCAGGCTGGCCTCGAACTCACAAAGATGCGCCTGCCTCTGCCTCCCGAGTGCTGGGATTAAAGGCGTGTGCCACCACCGCCCTGCTTGAAATCTAAGAAGCATTATTTGACAGTAACCAAGGGTTGCAATCTGCTTTCACTATTGACTGATACGTGACTAGAACTAGTATTCAAAAGCTGTTAACAGGTGGCATACTTAATCCACTAAGAAGTGGATGTAAGAGGAAACACAGTGAGACCCTGTCTTATAAAAAAAAAAAAGAAAAGAAAGAGAATCATAAAAGATGAATGATGAGCAAATACTGTCCTAGATGTAGCCGAGAGAAACTAATAAATTGCCAAATAGGCAAAAGGAATCTACAGCATTTTCACCGCGTAAAGAAGCCGGCCTCCGAGAGGGAGTAGAGTGCTTTTTTTGTTTGTTTGTTTTTCAGGACCAGTCAAGATCAGTACTCGACATACATTAGTTGCTCCTTAAATATTTGTCGAGTACAGTAACAAACGCTCTACTGAACGCACTCTTTTTAGATACCAGAACTACACCCGAGTTAAAGCTCCTTCAGGGCCAGTTTTGCAATACCGCGCTTGCGCTCTGTCCTCCCCCCTCCCCCCCCAACTCCGCCCTGATGCCCGGCCAGCTTCGCCATAGGAAATTTGAGCTCTCCGCTTCCCGTAGGCGCCCTTCCCGGCTTCCTCCGCGGCGTTCCCACGCCGACGCTCCCGGGGTTTGCGGGCTTCGGGCGGCTTCGCTCTCCGCGTCAGCCAGCGAGCACGGCAATGGCAGCCCAGAAGATAAACGAGGGGCTGGAGCATCTGGCGAAGGCGGAGAAGTAGTACGTGGAGTCGCCGCTGGGCTAGTGACCCGCCGGGCGGAGCGGGAGGGAGGGAGGGCCGGGATGCTGCTGCCCGCGCCCCGGGGCGGCGCCGTCCCTTGTGGGTCAATCCCCTGCAGTCGGCGGTGTGGGCCTGCTTACGCCTGGGCCTCTGCAGCAGGTGCCCGCGTCACGGCCACGTCTGCCCGGCGCCGGGTCCCCAGGGGTTGCGGCCGCTCTGCTCGCAGAGTAGTTCGTTGCGGGCTGAGGAGTGGATTCCTTGTTTCCTCTTCATGACAGCCAGACGTGACCCCGTAGATGAAGTCGGCCGGTGGAGAGCCACTGCTGGGAAAGAGACCCTGGTGCCACGCGGGGGTGTAGACTAGTTCTGGGAACTCTCACCCTTAGACGTCCTATTCCCTGGGGGACAAGGTCTTTGCTTCCTTAGTCCTGTGGGTGTGCCACCACCATCTGGTTCCGGGCGCAGAAGGCACCCAGCTGTAGGACTGGAAACTGCGAATTCTCTTTCATCCTTTTGACACCGACATGACCCTCTCCCCCACTTCCGTGAATTGCAACATACATATTTAATGATTACCGACTATAAGAAATTTCTTAGTACCCTGTTAGGTGCATCGTAAACTAGGATCTTAACAACTTTCCAAATTGAAGTCCCTCAGTTTACAAAAGAGGAACCGAGGCTGCCAGAAACTTCCTGGAGTCCTGTCCAAGACTGCTCGGCTAAACAGAACAGGGCCAGTTTTACTCAGTGGAAATCCACAAGCTTTTTCTTGTATACCGCATGGCCTCCAGACAGTGGCTAGGAAGGCGGCTGTCGGTTCAGAGGGTGATCTCAAGAATCCGTTTTGCCGGTGGGAACAAACACGAAAGAACAGAACATGTGCTCTCAGCCATAATAAAGTTGCATTATGTGAACTTCAGGGAGCTTCTAATTAAGCTTCTAAGATTGACCGCCCGAGTTACAGGACCAGTAGGAGCCAGGATTGGCATCCTTCTGTAATAGCTTTAACCAGTCCTCAATGGCAGCTGTGTCTGGAGCTGAGAGATTGGCTCCTAGGTGTCCCTGCTGGGAGAAGAATGGTGGGAGAGGCCTTCACTCAAGATGGAGTCATAGATGAGGGGGCATGCTTGTGGCCACGGTGGGGATGTATTGGATTCGGGTGTGAAGGATGTTTGAGGTTGCTCTGGGGAGAAAAGCCAGTGGGTGGCAGGAGTGTAGGAGAGGCAGTCAGGATTCTACTCTATTTTCTGATGGCAATATCTCTCATACTCACTTTGCCTTAGGACAGTTTCTTACTGACTCTTAGGACAAAAACAGTCAAAGGTTTGTAACAGGTTAGACAAAATCAAGCTGACATTAGCAGGGCCTTCCTTGCTCCTACCTGGTGGTGCTCAGCTGCCTGGGGTTGATGCTGCGGTTTTTAAAGTCTCCCCAGCACACTGAACGATGATGTCTTGTTTTGGGTGAGACTTCCATAAGCACGTTAAGTAGGGTGTGATGGCTGCTTTCGTGAAGGGGCGAAGAGTTGGAATTCTGCTTTGCTGCTCACTTCCTCAATTTTATAGAGTTAAGCATTACGTGTAGTTGAAGGATTTTATTTTTCTGGGAGATGAAATTCTTCGCAAACTTGAACATCTGTACACAGTTAAGTCTTGTTACAGTGTGTATGTGTATGTTAAATGTCAAGTCTACTAAATAAATTTTTCAGAGAAAAGACTTCAGAGTTAGACTCTGGGTAGTTGGTACCTGGGTCCCAGGTACTTCTGTGTACCTTCGAAGGGTGTACTTCTCAGGGCCATGTCTCTCAGTAGTCTCTGCATTCATATGAAGCAGTGCTATATGTAAGCAGGCTTTCACTAATTGAGCTGAAATTTAGAGTGTAAGATAGTGTTCAGCAATTCTTACGCACACCTAAGTTTGATACCCACTGGATTCGCTTAAACTGTGAGTTTGAAATTGTTTTTAAAATAAAAACAAAATGCCGGTAAAAAAAAAAAAAAAAGGGCAGGAAAGATAAACAAACACCAAGCACTGGGTACCCTTTGCTTTGCCTCCTGGGCCTGCGTTGGTCAGTCCTGGAAAACCACTTCTCTGTTGTCCTAATACTCACCCCTTCCCCTCCTGCTGTGTGGGGACTGACTCTCAGCCTTAGGTTTGCTCCCCTGTGTTCCCTCTGAATGTTGTTCCATAGTCTCCGCAGACTCCGCAGGGATGCTCTCTGTGATCTTGGTATAACAGAGGCTCCTGGCTCTCTTTTTTTTTTTTTTTTTTTTTTTTTTTTCCTCTCCCCGAGACAGGGTTTCTCTGTGTAGCTTTGCATCTTTCCTGGAACTCGCTTTGGAGACCAGGCTGGCCTCGAACTCACAGAGATCCGCCTGGCTCTGCCTCCCGAGTGCTGGGCTCCTGGCTCTTTAGCTGTACTCTCCCTGGTAGCCTCTCAGCTGCAAAGGACAGCGTACTTCAGGTTCTCAAGCCTGTTAAAGCACACATTGTGGCACCCACCCAGACAGTTTCTGGCTGTTTAGATCTGGGGTGGGTAGTGTGGACGCTGCTGGTCTGGGGACCATGCTTGTTCTGTTCGGATGGTATGTAGGCATTTCAGGAGGAGGAAAACTGCATTTGTGATGGGGCGGGCATGGAGGAAGAGGTGAGGGTACAATTATTGTGAATAAGTCTAGACAGAGTTGAGAAGGCGGGGACCTGTGCCTGATGGTTGGTACCTTTTTAAATAAGAAATGTCTCTCTTTCATTCTAGCCTGAAAACTGGTTTTTTAAAATGGAAGCCAGACTATGACAGTGCCGCTTCTGAATATGGAAAAGCAGGTATTTGTGACTGGAGTCCTGATGCCGTTGTGTGTATTGTTAACATAATCTGATAACTTTGTCTTAGTGTAATAATTCAGTGCTTCATGTTAGACTTTACTAGTTAAAACAGAAAAGCAAAACGGGACAACTGCACAGGCCTCTGCGTGTGTGGTGAGTGCTGAGCAGACCGTGGTCTATGTTCTTGACAGCAGACGTGGTTGCTTCTGTGGGCACATCTCCATTCATGGGTATCCATATGTGTTGCTTAGTCCCATCTTAGACTTCCTGCTGATGAATAAAGGGTTTTCTTTAATTTAGTTTTTTAAACTAGTCTCATTGGAGGAGACCTGCAAATCTTGTGTTTTCCCACATTAATGTTATGAGCTTCATTTTGAGAAACACATGTTCATGAAGGGTTAAGCTGTATGCTCATTTCAGTAAATTCACCTGTATATAAGTATAAAATATCTAAAATATGCAACAAAGGGAATTCGGTACAAGTTTAGTGTTAATTAAAGGATGATATGAAAGCTCTGAATGTCTATTCTCATTTTGGTATAAAGTAATAAAACCTAATTTTGAAGCTGGTAAGATGACTCAAAGTGAAGGTGCTTCCTGCCAAGCCTGACGACCTGAGTTTGGATCATCATGGCAGATGGAGGGATCTGACTCCCACACGTTGTCTCTGACCTCCCTCTGCATGCCTAATACAAATTTGAAACCACCACAGATTTGAAGTTCCTTGAGCATATTTTTGTCTGTGACTATGTTAGTGAGCCTGACTTTGAAATGACCATTATTACGTAGAGGGTTTATTTTCTATTCAAAAGGAAAACAGCAGTCTTTAGCCCTGTATTTAAGTATTGTGTTAAGCTTTGTTTCTTGCATTATGCAAATTGCTTGTATTTTATATTTAAAGATAAATTTGTTTAAAACTGAGCTTTATATATGGATTTTGGAGGACATTTTATAGTCTTTCTTTAAACCAGAGATACATTTCTCAAGTTCCCTCTATGCAAGAAATTTAGCAGCTTTGCTTTATATCTCCGGGACCATGTACTGCTTCCAGAAGTAAATATTCTGAATCAGGTTTCCTATTAAAGAGCCCTTTGTTTGCTTTCCGTAGGAATGTATGCAGAATATAGCCATGTGGTGGAATTTTTAAAGAACAAAATAGGGACAAGCAGGAATAGGAGTAGTTGCAGTATTTTGTTTGTTTTCAACACTTGGTTAAAGAGTTCTCTGAGAGTGTGATTTTAAGAAATAATAGTTGAGGACACAATCTACAAGGGAGGCTGAGGCAGGAGGATCTGCTCAAGTCAGAGGTCAGTCTAGGCTGCGAGGTTGTTTCCAGCTGATGGGGGTACATGTATGGAGACCCTGTCTCGGAATGACAAAACAAACCAAAGACACCACTTAAGTCAGTATGCTTTTTACTTTTTCATGACCCACCCTCGGTGAGTATCCGAAGACTGTAACATTGTCTTTCAGGGCCTTCTGACTGTCTCACCCTCGGGAGCCCCCTGTAAAGCAGCCGCAGTGTAGGTCAGCTCTTCCAGCAGTGTAGATAACTACAGAGATCATCTCTGTGTCGATTGAGCTGTGGTTGTCAGTCATGTAGTGAGCTGGTGGGGAGAAGCTGGGAGTGAGGCCCTCTCTCGGGCAGAGCATCTGGGAGTGTGCTAGAAGGAGCTCTTGGTAGTCAGTGGAAGCCTCACCAATGTGTTGCTAAAAATCAACAATTAAAACCATAATAGGCTTCTAAAAGTGTACTCAGAAAGATCGTAACTTGCTTTAGATAAAAGTAATATTTCACCCTTTTATGAAGCTCCCTATTTGAAATCAGTGTATTTTGTAATATCTCACATACAATCCAGATTTGGGTAATGATTCATTTGAGGGCTGTTAATGATGGAAATAGAAATCTTACTTTTTTTCCCTTTTTGTTTTCCTGTTTCAGCTGTTGCTTTTAAAAACGCCAAACAATTTGAGCAAGCAAAAGATGCCTGCCTACGGGAAGCTGTTGCCCATGAAAATAACAGGGCGTATCTTTTTTAGCTTTAAAAAAAAAATGGAAGAACTGGATTTTTGAAACACCTTTTTCCTTTAGCGTTTGAAGTAAAATGCTTTCCAGTTAGAAAAGGATGAACAGTGTGTGTGCTTTAAAGCCCGTGGGAACACTCCGTGAGTGGCCCTGAGTGCATGTTGGTGCAAGCAGCCATGCTTGCCTGTTATTTCCTCCCGCTCCTGGCTTTGTTGACAGGGATTTGACTTGAGATGAACGGGGGGAGGTTTCTAAGCCTGTGCTGAGAAAGAAAACATAGCTATTGAAAATGCATAGACTGCTTTGGGAAAACAATAAATAGTCTTCCCTAGGTATTTGAAGATTTATAAGCATTCTAGGACAAAATGTTCTTGGTGTATCTCAAAGGCTATCATGTATAATTGTCCATTTTATCTGACATGCAAAACGTAGTCTTACTATTCTTGCACTTCACCCTGTTGATGTAGAGTAGTTTAAAATCCTTTGCAGGGTTTTGTGAGTGTTTTGGGTGTAAGAATCTGCAGCAGCGCTGGGCAATCACTGCTTCACTCATAGGATTTGTCTTTTAAACCAGATGGACAGTGACTTATTAACTGTCTTTGGAAAGTAGATCTCTGGGGACCATTGATTTCTTCTTTTTTCCTTAATTTTGACATCGTTATATCCATTCAGTCTTTTTCATGCTGCCAAGTAAGTAATTTTTCATCTTTTTTATGTGTTTGCAGATGTTTAAAAAGTTGATGTTTTGCTCTAGCCTGAGAACTTTTTCTCAAGCTCTGTGTTTTCAAATACTTATATTAATTTAATTAAAATAATTATTTTCATTTGTTTTAGTCATTAGCCGAACTTTAAAGTCTAAGTGTCTCCTAATTATAAGAAAGGTTTTAAATTAAATACTGCATAATATTTTGCTTGTGAAGATACAAGTGACTTGGAATTTTTCCTTTATTTATTGGTTGCTAAGTGCCTATGGAAGAGGTGTGAGCTTTCTCCTTTTGTGGAGCATATGTATTTATTTTAAAACTTAGAATTAGGGTTGTCTTTTAGCCTTTCTGAGACTGACTTAATTTTGCTGAATAAAATCAACTCAGTGTTTGATGCTCCTAAGATATCATTGCTCTAAAAAGTAAATGAAGCCGGGCGGCGGTGGTGGCACACACCTTTAATCCCAGCACTTGGGAGGCAGAGCCAGGTGGATCTCTGTGAGTTCGAGGCCAGCCTGGGCTACCAAGTGAATTCCAGGAAAGGCGCAAAGCTACACAGAGAAACCCTGTCTCGAAAAACCAAAAAAAAAAAAAAAAAAAAAAGTAAATGAATAAAAGAAAAAGCATGAAACTCCAGTGTGGCAGTGAGGGCCTGGAGTGACATGCTGTGTGTGAGCTCCTTTCTGTTGGTCAGTTCTGACTACCACCGTCACAGGTTTCTTCCTCTTCATTAAGGTCTCATCAGAGAAATTGTATTCTCTTTACAGAGCTTATGAGCAAGCTGGGATGATGTTGAAGGTTAGTATTACTGGATCAAAACAGCTGTGGAGGTAAAGTGAATTAGCAAGCTGTCAAGGTACAGTGAATGATGAAATTGACAAGTTTCTTCACTGTAAAGCAAGAGGGGGTGAGGGTTGTGTGAGTGGAAGCAAAGGCTATGATAAGATGTCTTGCCCAGGGTAGCTCTAATTGGACCTGTAGTGAGCATCCTGTGGCAGTTAGGATAGAGTATTGAAAGTACCAAGTGAAAGGAAATGTATTGGAGGGAACAGAGAAGAGCAAGGCTCTAGGCACCGCAACACCATGGAGGGTGCTGATGAAGAGGTTTCCCTGCATCTGAGTGCTAGAGGGTGTCTGGATGTAGTACAGTTTTACAGGGATGTTTGTCTGTTTCGTTAAATTACTTGTAGGTTATGGAAAGGAAATTAGCTTTATAATTTTTTTTGGTTTTTATAAATGTCAGACTGGAATCAAGAACATTCCAAACTAGCTATTGCCTGTTTACCTTACTCCTTTTGAATGGAATAATGGAATATTTTGACCAATATGCCACATTTATGCTTCTTAATGGCAGGTTAGGGGTTACTATCCTGTTTCAGTTGTAGTGAGATGGTGTGTGTGTGTGTGTGTGTGTGTGTGTGTGTGTGTGTATGTATGTATGTATGTATGTATGTGTGTGTGTGTATGTATGTATAAGCCAGAGCTCAACCTTGGATGTCTTCAGCCACCCACCTAGTTTTTTGAGTAGGGTCTCTGGCCTGGTGCTTGCTGATTAGGCTAGACTGACTGACCAGTAATCCTGTCCTGCACCTGTCTCCACCTTCCCAGAGCTGAGATTACAAGCACATCTCATATGTTGGGCTTTTTGTTCTTGATTTTTAGACCTACATCTTTAATGGTACCTACTCTGTACTGCTGTATTTGTCAAAAAAATAATGTGTGGGGGTAAAACAGTTGAATTTCTAATTGTTAAAACTCCATTTGTTAAATTGAGACATTTTCTGTCCCATGCTGCATGCTTTTCCTGAAGGAGATGCAGAAACTGCCTGAGGCCGTCCAGCTGATCGAGAAAGCCAGCATGATGTACCTGGAGAATGGTACCCCTGATACAGCAGCTATGGCCTTGGAGCGAGCTGGAAAGTGGGTACACACAACTGTTGTGGGATGCCCTAGCCTTGCAGAGGACTTCTTTAAGAAACAAGTTTCTTATTCTCACAAGTTGTATTATCTGTCTAATTCAGGCTCATAGAAAATATAGATCCAGAGAAGGCTGTACAGTTGTATCAGCAGACAGCCAGTGTGTTCGAGGTAAGTTAGAATTATATTTGTTTCTTTAATTACTCATAATATTTTCATTCATAATATATAGGAAAAGAAAAATGCAGTGGATGCTTTTTAAGGTTTTTCTATGTCCACAACCCAACTCTATTCCTTTTTTCTTCTAGAGGTTAGTGAATGGGCTAGCAGCTTGGGTGCTGCCATCCATGGCCATTGCTTTATGCAGTTATTATTGAAGGGTAAGAAGAGTTCCACATTAACTCTGCCGACACTCCCTTTTCTTTGATTCCTCCAGAACGAGGAACGCCTCCGGCAGGCAGTTGAACTACTAGGGAAGGCCTCCAGACTGCTAGTACGAGGACGGAGGTAAGGCTGTCAAAACCGTGTGCCTGTGTGTCATGTGTTTGCAGTCTACATTTGGGGCTGTACATAACCTTGGGTGTAGCTTGTTTGTCTACACCTGGACAGACAGTGAAAAATGATCATCTTCTAAAGAGTGGGCACATGGAATTAAAACCCGTTTTTCTATCATAATTCCAAAATGTATTGTGCTTTTGTTGCCTAACAGTAATTAGTGGAATGAAGGAAGAGTTCTCTAGATCGGCCATTGCACTACTTTAGTTTCTCTCTTGGAATAAGTGGCTAGAGTATCCTAATTACCCATGAAAATCAACAGCTTTTGATACTTGAGTTATGTCATTCAATGGGATATTTAGTGTTTTCCATTTTAGATATAGTTCTTTAAATTTTTTTTCATATTTTGATTATTGTCCCCTCTACCAACTACTCCCAGAACCTCTCCATCTGCTTAACCACCCAACTTTATATTCTTTCTCTCATTCTTCTTTTCAAACCAAACCAATACAAAAACAAAAATAAAAATAAACAAACCAAAGACCAATAAGACAAAAACACTAAAACAAAATTACTCCTGAGCACAAAGCCTGCTCTGGAGTGTAGTTGATACACCCAGTGACACTCCTGAGGTAACAACTGATTGTGCTTTTGCCAGTGGGTATCTGTTCAGATAGCTCTTGGTTAGAGGTAGGACCCCATATTCACTTCCCCCTCTCAGTGCTGGGACCCGGTCTGGCTGGCCCTTTGTAGGTCTGATGTGTGCTGCCACAGTTCTGTGAGCTTGTGTGTGTATCAGTCCTATTGTGTCTGGATGACAACTGTTTCCTTGGAGTCTTCCATTACCTCTGGCTCTTAACAGTCTTTCTTCCTCTTCTTCCACATAAATCTGAGAGCCTTGGAGGATTTGATGAAGACTGTTCTAAAGTCTCTCACGCTGCACTTTGTTCAGTTTGGGTCTTTGTGTTAAATCCCTATCTATTGCAGGAAGCTTCTCTGATATGGGTTGAGCTGATCTATAGTTATGACAATATGTCACTAGGGGTCATTTTATTACTATGTTCCATTAGTAGGAGAATAGTATTAGGTTGTCCTCTAGGTCCATGACTTATCTAGTCTCTTGGCCACTTTAGCCATGTCAGATATGGGTGCCATATCATGGAGTGGGCCTTAAATCCAATAAAGTGGTTGGTTACTCCCATAAATTGTGCTCCTATTGTACCAGTATATCTTGCAGGCAGGTCACTGTGTTAGGTTGCAGGATTTATACCGGAGTGATATTGACATTACCTTTTCCCTCTGGCACCATGCAGAGTACTTTCCAGCACCATGAACACCATCAGTAGGGTTGAAGCTTCTAATTAGGCACCAGTTTGGCTTTTCTATTTTCAGTGACATGCTTTCTTCAGCAGTAGGGCCTTACTTACATAACGTTGTAGAAAGCAGCAACCAATAGCTTTGACAATAGCCTGTGATTTGGAGGGGTTTCCATGAGCCTTTGGCCAGTGACTCAGCAAGATGTCACCTATTGCTGACACTGGAGGTTTTACTTGAGGCGTTGTCTCCCCTATTTGATGGCAACTCCAGAGTAGTAGGTTTCCATATGGTTTTTCCAATGGCCTTTAGTGTTAGTGGTCCCTCCCCATATGACTTCCTTTCCCCTTCTGTCTCCTTCCCCATTCCTCACTGTTTCATCTTCCTATTCTAGTTTCCCTTCCACAGCTCTGTATTCTGCTTTTCCTTCCTTGGGAGATCCTCTCCTCCCCCAGAGTCCCTTGCTAGGTACCTAACCCCAGGGTTAACCAGATTGTAACATTCATATCAAAACTTAAACTCTAACATCCACATACAAGAGAAAGCATACAATATTTGTCTTTTGAGCTCTGGGTTTTCTCACTCAGGATGATTTTTTTTTTCTGGCTCCACCCATTTACCTGTAAATTTCATAATTTTAATTTTTCTTAACTGCTGAATAATATTTAGTTGTATAAATACACCGTATTTTTGTTATCCATTCATCAGTTGCTGGACATATAGGCTATCCATTTTCTGGTTATAGAGCAGCAGTGAACATGGATGAGCAGGTATCTCTGTAGTAGGATGCTGAGTTTTTTTGGGTGTGTGTCCAAGAATGGTATAGTGGATCTTTGATGAGAATCAACCTGAGTTAGATTGATTCTCACCTTCCTGAGGAGCCTCCACACTGATTTCCACAGGGTTGTATCAGTTTGTATTCCCACCAGAAGTAAATAAATGTTTCCCTTTTCTCACATCCTCTCCAGATGTACTGCCATTTGCTTTAGCTATTTTGACCAGACAAACGGAAATGTTAAAGTAGTTTCAATTTTCATTTCCCTGATGGCTAGGAGTTATGGGTTCACTTCAGTTGCTTATATCATCTTGACTTAACTTTAGTTAGATCATTTGTATCAAGATAGTCATCCATTTCTTTGAGGTTTTACAGTTTGGTGTAATAGATTTTTAAAGTATGTCCTCGTGATTCTCTGAATTACCTTAGTTTCTGTTATAACGTTGCTCTTTTCATGTCTAATTTTGTTCATTTCATCTTCTGTCTCTTTTAGTTAATTTGGCTAATGTTTTGTCAATCTTGTTGATTTTTCTCAAAGAACCAACTTTTCCTTTCATTGATCCTTTTTATTGGTATTTTTGTTGTTGTTTCTGTTTCATTGATTTCAGCCCTGAGATTTATTGTTTCTTCCTATCTACTCGTGGGTATGATTTCTTCTTGTTTTTCTAAAGTTGTCAGGTGTGCCATTAAGTTACTAATAGGAGATCTAGTTTTTTCATGTAGGTATTTATTACTATGAACTTGCCTCTTAGAACTGCCTTCATTATGGCCTAGGTTTGGATATGTTCTGTTTTCATTTTCATTCAGTCCTTAAAAGTTTTTAATTTTCTTCTTGATTTCGGTCTTGACCCAGAGTTTCCATGAGATTATGTACTGTCAGCTGTTTCTGTTGTTACTGATACTCAACTTTAATCTATGGTGGTCAGATGGGTAGGATATTGCTTCAGTTTTCTTGTATCTGTTGAGATTTGCTTTGTGTCTTAGCATAATGTCAATTTTGGGGAAAATTCCATGAGCTGCTGAGGAGAAAGTAGATTCTTTAGAGTTTGGGTGGAATGTTCTGTAGATGTCTGTTAGGTCCATTTGATTTATGCCATTATTAGCTACATGTTTCTCTTTTTAGTTTTTGTGTAGATGATCTGTCTGTTGATGAGAGCTGGGTATTGAACTCACTCACCATCACTGTGTGAGAGTTAACGTGGTTTTTAGCTCTAGCAGTATTTCATTTATGAACTTGGTGCCCATATGTTCAGTGCATAAATGTTTAGAATTGTAATATCCTCTTGGATTTCTACTTTGATAATTATGTAATGTCTTTCTCTATCTCTTCTCTTTAGTTTTGGTTTGAAGTCTTTTTTGTCAGGTACTAAAATGGCTACACCTGTTTGATTCTTTGGTCCATTTGTTTAGAATAACCCATCCTTTAATTCCAAGGGGATATCTATTTTTTTTGATGATGAGGTCTGTTTCTTGGATGCCACAGAAAGATGAATCCTCATTTTGTAATCCAGTCTGCTAGTCTGTGTCTTTTTATGGAGGAATTAAGACCATTAAGGTCGAGACTTTTTAATGAACAGAGTTTATTGATTCCTGTTATTTTTTTTGTGGTAGTGCACCCCCCCCCCCTTTGACTTTGATTTACTGTTGATGTCCTGGAATTATTTATTCCTTGTGTCCTCTTGGGTGTAGTTAACCTCTTCAGGCTGAAGTTTTCCTTCTGGTCTCTTCTGTAGAGCTGGATTGGTAGATAGAAATTTCTTACATTTTATCTTACTGTGGAGTGTTGTTCTTTTTCTACATGACTGATAGTTTCACTGGCATCTCTCAGAGCTTGTAGAACACCTACCTGTCCTGGCCCTTTTGGCTTTCAGAGTCTTCAGAGTCCCCATTGAAGAGTCAGATGTTCTTCTAATAGGTCTGCCTTTATATGGGGCTTGGTCTTTTTCCATTTGCAGCTTTCCTTTTTTTTTTCCCCCTATACATTTAGTGTTTTAACTATGTGTCATGGAGAATTTCTTTTCTGATCTTGTCTGTTGGTATTCTGTATGCTCCTTATACCTTAACAGGCACGTCCTTATTTAGGTTAGGGAAATTTTCTATGATTTTGTTGAAAATATTTTTTGTGCTTTTTTTTTTTATACCTAAATTTCTTCTTCTATCCCTATTATTTGTGAGTTTGGTCTTTTCATAGTGTCCCCAATTTCCTGGATGTTTTGTGCCTGGATATTTTTAGGTTAGCATTTATTTGATTGAGGTACCCATTGCTTCTACCTTGTCTTTAAGACTTTCTCTCTTCTGTCTTATATTTGTTGATGAGGCTGACCTCTTGTTTGACATTCTAAGTTTATCATTTCCAGTTTTATTTCAGTTTGGATTTTCTTTAGTGATTCTATTTCTTTGTTTAATTCTAACTTTGATATCTTGAAATGTTTTCATTATTTTTTGTGTATTTGTGGTCTTCATTAAGGCATTTATTCATGTCCTTCCTTAGATCCTTGGACATACTTTTAACTGCTATTTTGAAGTCCTTGTCTTACGCATCAGCTAAATTGCTTTTTGCAGGGCCTATTGCAATATGGTTGCTGGCTTCTGGAGGAGCATCACTTCCTGGCTGGTCATGTGTGGGTTTTTGTGCTGGAATTGGAGTTAAGATGTTAGAAGTGTTTCTTCTTTGTTGGGTTAGTGATCCATTCTTTGGTGCTGTTATCTACCCTGGGTTGACAGGTGTCACAGAGGAATGGAGATGGGCTAGAAGCAAAGTCTGAGGGACCATGGGAAAGAGTTAGGGGACCTCAGGTCTGCAACAAGAGGTGGAGTCCCAAGGGATGGAGGGAAGGGGTAGGAGGGGCTCCTGTGGAGGACGAAGAGTGAGTCTACAGGCTGGACTGGAGGGTGCGAAGGACAGAGTTCCAGCCTGGTGCTGCCACTGGAGGTCCCTGGTAGAGAGTGACACAAGAATGGACATGGGCTAGGGGGAGAGCAGAATTTTTTAGACATAGATCTAAGGCACAGATAGTTCGATACAGAAAAGCTAGACTCAGTCACTTCTCAGCCTTTTGGCTAAGATCAAGTGTAGAAAAGCTAGACTTGTACCAAATTTTTCCTTAGTTTTTAATTTACCTTAATTTATGCCTAGTAAATAAGTTTTATTATTGATAAAGTCTATTTACCAAGTTCTCATTTAATAATATTGAAGATTTTTTAAAGAAATTTATATTTAATTAAAATATAATTACATCATTTCCCCGTTCCCTCCTCCCTCCAACCCCTTCCATATCGTCATCTCTGTTCCCTCTCAAATTCCTGGCCTCTTTTTCTTTAATTGTCATCGTTCTACACACACACACACACACACACACACACACACACACACACACACACAGGCAAATAAATACACTCTGCTGAGTTTAGTGTTCCTATGTGCTTTAGAGCTGACCAGTTGGTATTGGGTAAGCATTTAGGGGACTCATCTTGGAGGAAGAAATTCTTCCTCCTACAGTGGACCTGAATGGCCTGTAGCTCTTTGTCTAGGGGCCTTTGAGGTTTCCCCTTACACACAAGCCTGTCAACTGTTGTTGTCATTGTTAAGATCTTGTTTAGGCAGCCCAGTTTTGTTGTTGTTGTTGTTTTAAACTCAAGGCCAGTATTATTAGAGTTTAAAAGAAAAAAAATCCTAGGGTAGGCTAGCTTTAAATCTCAGCAGCTGCCGAGAAAGAGAAGCAAAAAGCCTTGCTGTTTGAGTTACTGTCATGGCAAGAGAAGGGGCTTTAGTGAAGGAATAAGAAAGCCCAATGTATCAGAAACGTGGGTTCTGGCCAGCATCTGGAAGAGACAGAAAGAAGGTAAAGGAAGAGTCGCACTACACAGCTGTTTATAGGGGCTGCTCTGGGGGTGGGAGTTCTGAGGAAGAGAAGTCCAGCACCCCACTGAAGGAGTGATCACCCACTTGTCTGTTAGCATGGCTTACAGCAGACACGTGTCTTGTTTTAAACTTGCCCACCTCTGCGGGACGGTAAAGGCCAGAGGTGTCGTTTTTCAGGAAATTCAGGACTGAATCAGTCAGTCGGTTCCCAGGACAATTAGGTTTTCCTTCACGACAACTACATATTATAAAATATATTCAAACATGTTTAGAGATGGAGTATGACTCAATATAAGGTTAGCTGTTCTTATTTAGGCGCACTATTGTGTTTGTAAGATGGGAAAAGCTTCCAGTAGTGAGATTTCTATAGAAATGAAATATCTGGTTCCTATACTTACAGAATGTTCTGCAATTGTATTTTCTACAGATCTGTGCTGAACTTATATTCACAATTATGAGAGATATGAGCACATGGGAGGCCTCCTTTCCTTATTTTTTCTATTTGTATGGCAGACTACCACAGCCCCAGCTCTTTAAAGTAGTACTCACGTAATCTCATGGATTCTGTGGCCACAAGTCTCTACTGGGGTCTCAGCAGGCTGAAATCAAGGTGTGGGAGGGGCTGCGGGCTCATCTGAGGTTTGAGTTCTCTGGCAGGCTCCCTAGCTGTTGGCAGAGCTAGGGACTCTTACAGCTGTGTGACACAGATCCCTGTTTATTTGCTGCCCATCAGCCAAAAGGCACTGTCAGCATTACAAGGTCCCTTCAGTCCCTGGGTGGATACTCCTAGAAGTGGCTCCCAACAGGATACTTGCAGCTGATTCTGGCCACACCCTTTAGGGTGTCTGATGAGATCGGCACCTGCAGGTAGCCAGTCACCTGACAAGTAGCCAGTCACAGGAATGATAGCCGGTCCTCCTCAGAGGAACCCATATGGGAAGTTCCTACAAGGGGCGAGAATCTCCAGTGTTTGTCTTGGAATTTTACTGTCTTATCTGATGCATAAATGATCTTCTAAAAGCCAATGTCAACTCTATCTTTGGAAATTTTGAATAAAACACCAGTGAATTTTATTTATAAGGTACTAAGTTGCCAGGACATAACCCACAGAAATTTACTAATACACATATGTAATAGAGGTAGAACTGTAAAACACACTACTGTGTGTGGGGGTGTGGGTGTGTGTGAAAGTATTTTTGAAGGTAACATGCAGAGAAATAGGGTACACTGTGTAATATTGCTGTATTTTTAACAGGTCACAGCACCACCCTTCCTCTGTGTCTAACCTTTGCCCTTTTCCGCCATTGGCTTATATCAGCTCCCAGAGCTAAGCCCAGACCTCAAACTGTTCATGGGGATGAGAGAGATGGGCCAAGACTCCACATTCATGCAGTCATGAGTTAGGTGTCAGCAGAGCAGTCTTGGATTCAGAGAATAATAAAATGGTTCAGGGAAATGATGATCTGGTTAGGGTTTGATAGAAGGAAAATGATGGGGGACGGAGTGTCTGGGGGAAGTGTTTGGCACCCCTTCCTTTTCACTCCACCATTGGCTGGCACAGGAATGAGTGTAAGAGAGGATAGAAAGCATGGGTGTTGAGATCAACGCTGCAGAAAGGCTGGCTTAGCTTGCTAGGATCCCTGAGAAGCAGTGGAGAGGGTGAGGACACAGGCAGAGTAAGGGAGTGGTCAGGGCACCTTGACATTCCTTCACGTGGACAGAAGGAAGCCTGGGTGATGCAGTCTAGACTGATTGTCTAGTGGGTTTTTCCGAGCTACTTATTGAGGTAGTTAGGAACGCATTAATGGGCGGTTTTTACCAAACTTAAAAACGTCTGTGTGCTGACCCTTCACTTCCTTTGCGTTGCCTTGATGCCTCGGAGGGGAGTCAGGCTTTTGAGAGAGAAGTCTGATGAGCAGAGCCAGTGGGAACACTGCTGTGGAGCAGCTGGCAGAACCCTGTCCTCCAAAGTCTGTGATAAGGGCAGTGTAGCAGAGGCCTCTGCAGAGGGTTCACACCTGCCCTGTTTGATGTTCCTTTCTTTTGTCTCTAGGTTCGATGAGGCTGCACTCTCTATTCAGAAGGAAAAAAACATTTATAAGGAAATTGAGAATTACCCAACTTGTTATAAGGTATTGAATATGTCTGGTTTGGCTTTACTTTAACTTTACACATTGGTATGAATACTTAAGCTAACATTCTGTGGATATTTGTCTGTTTCTATAAAATAGTAATTTATGGTCTTGTGCTTCTGACCATGACAGAGAAAGCCCTCCTAACCTACCTTTCTTACAATAGCAATATCAACAAAATAAAAAAAGCATTTACATTAAACTCTGGACAGTACATAAAAATGGATGGCCTGTAGAGGGCACTGAGTGCTTGGAGAAGCCACTACCTCAGGAGAGGGCATCCCTGGGAATTTCTGTTTTCTCTTGTCCCTTGCCCTGAGAGATGTGTGTATACAGTATATGTGGAGTTCAGAGTATACATTTTTTTTGGTTTTTCCAGACAGGATTTCTCTGTGTAGCTTTACGCCACACACACACACACACACACACACACACACACACACACACACACACACACACACACACACACACACGGATTCCCTCCTCCCACACTCTGCTCTCTGGGATCTGTCCCTACTCTCTTGGCTCCCCTTGTCTATTCTTCCAGCCACAGACTAGGGATCCATTGGTGCCACATTAGCTGCAACTCCATGACCACTGGAGCTCAACCTAAACCAAGGTGTGTGTGTGG